TTTTATTGATTTTTTACAGAGAGGAAGGGAGAAGGATAGAGAGTTAGAAACATTAATCAGCTGCCTCCTGCACACCCCCTATTGGGAATGTGTCCGCAACCAAGGTACATGCCCTCGACTGGAATCAAACCTGGGACCCTTCAGTCCGCAGACCGGCACTCTATGCACTGAGCCAAACCAGTTAGCGCTAAACTTTTTATTCTTATTATTCAACATCACCTACTATGTGCCAGGTACTAAAGGAATTAAGGATACAAAGTATGTCCTCAAGTAACAGAGTCTAGTTTTTTTTTAGCATTGCAACATAAACACTTAAAAGTAGAGGTTACATTACAATAGTGTAATGAAATAGCGACTTTCACCTACATTTTAGAAGTTCTGAGAATCAGGTGTGAGATCCTGGGAATACCTTAAAATCAATGTAATTATTGTTACAGCCACTCTGGGAAGCTTTTCGGCAGTATCTGCTAAAACTGAACACACACATACCCTATAACTTAGCAATTGCTTTATTAGGTATATAATACTAACCAAAAGGCACGAACAAGAACATTCATAGCAGCACTAGTCATAATAGCCCAAACTGAAGACAACCCAATCACCCATTACTGGTAGAATCGTGTATCTATTACAGTCTAGAGAGAAACAGAATTTTTTAACTTTTTTAGTGCTGTTAGCTCGGTTACTAAAAGCAAGCGCATATACCTATACCCTCATTTGGTTGAATAGGTATTAGAGAACTAAAAAAGGGCTAAGGGGACACTGAAGTAATGGGCCTAGAGAACAAAGTACAGAAGTAGGTTTATGGGACCTCAGAAGCGTAGAGGAGGGAGGCAGGCCCCATGTGTCTGAGGAGAAGTGCTGTCTGGCATTGACTATCCTTTTAAGGGGACACCTGAGGCTGGTTTGAGCAGCACTATAAAACCTGAGACTGGAACAAACTGCGGCTGTAAAGGGCCTGTGCTGAAGGGATGGTACTGCCAGCAGGAAGGAACAAGTCCCTTCGCACTTGCCCAGTCTTCAGGTCTCTGTCTAGTGCCCCCAACTGGCAGAACTAATTGGAGAAATGTTAGCTGGATCACACAGCTCCCTCATTACAAAGCTGAGAATAAAAGTGTAAATTTGGGGTTAAGAGACAATAGTGTAATACATGGAATCAGTGGGTTAAAATAAAGTGGTATATTAATACAATGGAATACTATACAACAAGTAAAAACATTACTATACTCAGCACCTCACTCAGTCTCACTAATATCGAGCAAAAGTAGCCAGATGCCAAAGAGTACCTAGTGTATGGTTCATTCCCACAGCACTCAAAGCCATGAAGCACTAATCAGCTGAGTCAGAACAGGAGTTACTTTGTGGGAGTAGTGAATAAGGATGGACCAGGTGGGGCTTTTGAGATACTGATAAGATATAATATTTTATTTATCTATTTACTTATTTATTTTTAAAATATATTTTTATTGATTTCAGAGAGGAAAGGAGAGAGAGAGAGAGAGAGAGAGAGAGAGAGAGAGAGAGAGAGAGAGAGAGAAACATCAATGATGAGAGAGAATCACTGATTGGCTGCCTCCTGCACACCCCCCTACTGGGGATCAAGCCTGCAATCCAGGCATATGCCCTGACTGTGACCTCCTGGTTCATAGGTCAATGTTCAACCACTGAGCCATGCCGGCCAGGCAAGGTTTGATATTTTAAAACACAGCTGTCTTTCCTTTATTATCTATCCTGATGATTTATGCATGTTTCTAGATAAATATTATGTAACAATAAAAATGTTAAAAAATAAATACAATTAAACTCTTTAGTAAAGATTATAAGGCTGATTTTAAATGGTAAAGTATATTTTATCTCCATATGTAAGGCCTATACGTACCTGAAACTTACAAATATACATTTTTGAAGAGCTGATTTGAATTATGCTAGAACAGAATACATGTGGAACTGTGAGCAAAATTGTATTCAGTGGCAGTTAGTACATTTATAGTGTCACCACCATGACCTCTATCTAGCTCCAAAACATTTTCCTAACTACAAAATAAAACTCTATGCCCATTAAACAGTTGCTCCTCACTTCTTCCCCTTGACATTGGCCACCAGCAATTGGCTTTCTATGGATTTGCTTATTCTGGAAGTTTCATATAAACAGACTCCTACAATATGTGGCCTGACTTCTTTCACTTGGCATAATGTTTATTTTTTATTCTTATTGATTTTTTAGAGAGAGAGAGAGAGAGATCCATTATTCCACCCATCTATGTGTTCATTGATTGACTCTTGTATGTGCCTTAACTGAGATGAATCAAACTTGCAACCTTGCACATCAAGATTACAGTACCCCAACCAAGGGATCTACCTGGCCAGGGTCATCACTTGGCATAATATTTTTGAGGTTCATCTACCTTGTGGCTTGTATCAGTACATCATTTCTTTTTATGGCTGAAAAATATTTCATTGTATGTCTCTATCATTCATTCACTCATGGATATTTGAGTTGCTTCTAACCTTTTGACTACTGTAATTCATGCTACTCCAGAAAGTTGTGTACAAGGATTTGTCTGAGTACCTGTTTTCAATTCTTTTGGATATACACCTGGGAGTGGAATTGCTGATAATTCTATGGTTAGCTTCCTGAGGAACCTGAAACTATTTTTCCACAGTGATTTTCCAAAGTGATTGCACCATTTACATTCCCACCAGCAATATATGAGGATCTCAAAATCTCTACATCCTTGCCATCACTTATTTTCCATTAAAAACATTATAGTCATCCTAGAAGATGTGAAGTGGTATTTCATGTGGTTGTACTTTTCCCTAATGATGTTGAGCATATTGTCATGCCCTTGTTGGCCATTTATTTATTTTCTTTGGAGAAATGTCTATTTCTTGAGTCTCTTGTCCATTTTTTTTTACACAGATTATTTTTTAAATACAAAGGAAAAAAGGTGCCTTCACCATGAAATGATTAAATGTAACATCACTGATAATGAACAAACTGACATGATACCCGTCCTGACGCAATGTAGCAAGAAAGACACAGTATCATCTACATGTGTAGTGTACCCGACACAATTATTTAACTTGAATCTAATGGGGAACAAACTGAGGAACATTCTGCAAAACAGTAGAATTGGATTTTTCAAGGTAGTTGATGTTATAATAGAAAAAAACCAAAACTAGTAATTATTCTAGACTAAAGGAGTTGTAAAATACATGACTACTAAATGCAATGCATGATCCTTGATTGTATCCTGAATTGGGAAAAAAAGTCAGCTAAAAGGAACATTTTCTTTTTTTTTTTTTCTTTTAATATATTTTATTGATTTTCCACAGAGAGGAAGGGAGAGAGATAGAGAGCTAGAAACATCGATGAGAGAGAAACATCGACCAGCTGCCTCCTGCACATCCCCTACTGGGTATGTGCCCGCAACCCAGGTACATGCCCTTGACCGGAATCGAACCTGGGACCTTTCAGTCCGTAGGCCGACGCTCTATCCACTGAGCCAAACCGGTTTTGGCTAAAAGGAACATTTTCAAAATTTGAATATGGCCTCAGTATATTATAGATAATAGTATTGTATTAATATTAAATTTTCTTGGAGTGATAATGGAATACTGATTATGTAGCAGAATCTTTGTTCTTAGGAGATACTTATTGAAATACAATATTTAGGGATAAAGGGTAATGTCTGCAAAAAAAACTAAAATGATTTAGTAAAAACAAAACAACCCCTCACCCCTACATTTACACAGGGAAAGCAAATGTGATGAAATGTTAAACTTTTGTGAATAGGGGGTTAATATGGGTATTCATTATACATTATATTTTTCTTGTAACTTTTCTGTAGGTTTGGTATTTTTGAAAATAAAATGTTGAGAAAGTAAAAATCTCTTCAAGTCTAATTAGTGCGTTCTGACTTGGTGGATTTAGCATCTTTAGAATAAAGACTAGGTACTTTGATCAGTTAAGAATACAGTTGTGTAACCAAAGTGAGAGTAAATGGTCAGGATGACTATCTTTCAAAAATATTATAATTATTGCTGAAACTGGTTTGGCTCAGTGGATAGAGCGTTGGCCTGCGGACTGAAAGGTCCCGGGTTCGATTCCGGTCAAGGGCATGTACCTGGGTTGCGGGCACTTCCCCAGTGGGGGATGTGCAGGAGGCAGCTGATCGATGTTTCTCTCTCATCGATGTTTCTAACTCTCTATCTCTCTCCCTTCCTCTCTGTAAAAAATCAATAAAATATATTTTAAAAATATATAATTATTTAAAGAAACAAGGGAACATTGCAGTTCACATTTTGTCCTACTACCAACTTGATTCACATCTTTATTAGGAAGCATGATATGTGAAAAGAGTTTGGGGTCAGGTAGGCCTAAATTTGAATCATACTGGGTAAACTGTTTAACCTCTTTAGGACTCAGTTTCTTTCTTTCTTCTTTCTTTTTTTTTTTTATAATATACTTTTTATTGATTTCAGGGAGGAAGGGAGAGGGAGAGAGAAAGAGAAACATCAATGAGAGAGAATCACTGTTCACCGGGGAATCGAACCATGACCTCCCAGTTCATAGGTCCACGCTCAACCACTGAGCCAAGCTAGCCAGGCAGGACTCCGTTTCTTCACTGTAAGTTGGAGAAAATAACTACTTGTTGGTCTTGATCGTTGTACTCATGTATCTACTCAATTTATTTAATTCAGGTGCACAAAGCTTCGTTCTACTTTCCATGCTATTGGCAACTTTTCCTTTCTTTAAATCCGAGCAATCTTGTGGGATATCGGTACCGGTGAGATGATAAGATGACTTCTCCAAGGTCACACAGCCAGTGAAGGACCCGGGTCTCCTGGCTCTGGGACCGGTGACCTTTCCACACTCGCCAGACGGGAAGAAGCGGCGCTCATGGGGATGCAAGGATGCAGAGGAGCCAAGGGGGAGAAGAGGCCGCGCGAGGAGCAGTGGTGTGAGCCCCGCGGAGGCGCGGGCCACGGCCAGGCGCATGGAGAGGCGGGCGGCGCCCCCGGCCGGGGTGCGTAGCGGTGAGACTGTGGCCGGAGGGAGGGTCGCGCGGGCCGGGTCCCCGGGAGAGGCTGGAAGCCGCGGGGGCGCAGGAGGCGGAGGCCCGGCCGCGGGCTGGGGCGGGGAGGCCGAGGCCCGAGCGGCGGGGGTCGAGGCCGGGAGGGAGGTGGGGGCCGTCGCTACTGCACAGGTGGGGCGGGCCGGTGGGTGCGGGCCGTGCGGGAGTCGCCCGCCGCCGGGGTCTGGACCCCACCGGGCTGGTGGGGGCGGGGCCGGCCGGGGGCGGGTCTTGCTGGGACCCCGCGGGAGCGGCGGCGGCGCAGGCGCGGTTCCCGCCTCCTCCCGGCCGGCGGAGCGAGTGGAGGCTGCAGCCCGGCTCCGCTCCGGCGTCGCTCCCGTCGCCGCCGTCGCGAAGACCCCCGTCCCGCTTCCGCTGCGGCGGAATGAGCTCCCGGAAAGGTGAGTGGCCCGCGGCCGGCCCGTCTCCCGGCCACGCGGCCCCGCAGGCCGGCCGGCCCGACCGTTAATGTGTGTCTCCTCTTTCCCCAGTGCTGGCCATTCAGGCCCGAAAGCGGAGGCCGAAAAGAGAGAAACATCCGAAAAAGTGAGTCCACCCTGGATCCCCGCCCTGGCCCGGTCCGGGCAGCTCGGGACCCCGCTGGGGAAGTTGCCCGAATTCCCGGGCCGGCGGGCGGGCTGGTCCCCAGGGACCCGGCGCTCGCCGCCTGCGCGCCGGGCGGGCGGGCGGCCGGGCGGCCGGGGGGAGGGGCGGCTTTCGGGGGAGGGACGCGCGCGAGCCCGGGGCCGGCCGGCCAGCTGCCCCCGGCCCCCGGAGCCCCGGGCCCCCCGTCGCCGTGGCGGTCGGGGCGGCGGTGAGGAGGCGCGGGGCGTGCGCGCCGCCCCTGCGCGCGGGGCTGGCCGTGGGGTCGCGGGCCCTTTCTGGGAGGGGCGCCGGCTCCCGGCTCCCGGCTCCCGCACGCCTGGCGCGGGGGAGGCGGCCTCGCCGCTCTCACCTGGACACGGGGGTCCGAGAGGAAGGGGCGCCGAGCGTGCGGGAGACGAGAGTGAGTGTGCGCGCGTGTGTCCGTGTCGCCGCCCCTGCTCCCCGGCTCCTGCCTCTCGGCTGGTCGGCGGAGAACCGGAGCGGGTGGGCGAGAGGCTCGCGTCGGGCGTGTGCCCGGCGCCAGCTCCGCGCCGAGACCCGTGCGCGCGGGCCCGCGGGTTTGTGCGGGAAACTTTGTGTGCGGGCCGAGCGTGCCCGCAGCGCGGGGCCGGTGGGCGTGTGCGCTGGCAGTCCCGGCGCGGCTCCCGGCCTCCCTCCCTCCCGGTGCCCGGGGCCGCCGGGGAGGGCAGTGATGTTGTAGACGTGCCCGCGGCCGGCCCCCTCCAGCCTGGCCGCGGCCCGAGCGGCAGCGGCAACGGGAAGCCTTTCCTGGAGAGCTGCTCCGAGACCGCAGAGCGCCGCCACCTTCCTCTTTTCTCTTTTCTTAAATTAAAAAAAGACACACACAAAAAACCTGCCAGCGTTCTACACACCTCCTCCTGGATTTGGGACCTTGCTGTCCCCTTGGTACTGTGGGGAATGGTAGTCCACGAGCATCTTTAAATAAAACCACGAAGCATCTGTTGGTGGCTTCCTTTGGGGGGCTACCCGGCAACATTTCGAGGCTCTTCTGCCCTGGCCACCTTGGTCTCTCTGCCGAGGGAATTTCGTACTCACTGGTGGCATCTCTGAAAACTGCCTAAGGCATGGTATAGCATGACAAGATTTTTATTCATTCAGAATGGAGTATAATTTGTAAGTTCAGGATTTCACAAAATGTGATATCGACATGATGCTTTCCTTAAGAAACTGGGGGGAATGGAATATTTGGTAGTTTTAGATTTTTTTTTTTTAAATTAATGCTAGCTTGCAAGTCAATCAGAACCTCAAATTTGGTATTTCCTTTGGTGAACAATGTGAAAGTTTAAACAATAAGGAGAACTGTAATGTTTAGGATCCTGAGTATTGGGTTTTAATCATAGCTGTTATTTCCCCGTAGCCCATTATGTCCAGAAATGTGAAAAGGAATTGAAAAAAGCATGCCCTGGGGCTGGGGGGTGGCTCTGGATGTGTGTGTTTTCAGTAGATACATATATTTATGTATTTATGTATATGTATATATGCACATATAAATAAGATATGTGTGTTTTATATATATACATACATGTGAAAAAGCAGTTTGTTAAGTAAGTCAGTGTATGTTTCATATTTTCATACTTAAGGATATGACTTTCCTAATGGCCAGGAGCCTTTTTTTGGTGTACTTCGGTTTGGATTTATGTGATATGTTTATAAAGAATTAGCATACGCCGAAACCGGTTTGGCTCAGTGGATAGAGCGTCGGCCTGTGGACTGAAAGGTCCCAGGTTCGATTCTGGTCAAGGGCATGTACCTGGGTTGCGGGCACATCCCCAGTAGGAGATGTGCAGGAGGCAGCTGATCGATGTTTCTCTCTCATCGATGTTTCTAACTCTCTATCTCTCTCCCTTCCTCTCTGTAAAAAATCAATAAAATATATTTAAAAAAAAAAAAGAATTAGCATACATCCACAATATTCAACTTTTACTCCCACAGATTAATCAGTCAGTTTCTTCCACTGTCTATTGTATTTATGTGTTAAGTTTTGAGGGCAAAACTCCCCGCAGTGCCTAAAGAACTGGTTGATCTGCAGGTAATTAGCAAGATTAGATCAGCCCAATTACATAACTGTTTAGTTAAAGCAATGTCATTTTTAACTTAATTCTTTGGTTCAAGACATTATTTTAAAGGGATGCTTCATATAATTTATTTATGCATGTATTCAACATGCCTTTCCTAGGGGGTGGTGAAAGCTTTGAATAAGAACAAACCTCCATTTATATGGAGGTTTGGGGAGAACCCCATAGAAGATGCCAAATAAAAATGCCAATTTCAGATAGTGCTAAGGCATAGGGAGAAAATTAAGATGGGGTGCCTGAAGTAATAGTGATGACATTTGAACACTACCAGTCACTGTGCTGATGACTGTACATGTATTTATCCCTTGTGATAACCCTATGAGGTAGACGTTGTTATCACCATTTTACAGACAAGGAAATGGGGACACAGCATGAGTAAGTAACATGCCCAGCTGCTAAATTGAATCAAGGCAGCCTAGGACTAGAGTCCACACACAGCTGTTTGAGGAGGTGACATTTGAACCAAAGCTAGACTTAAGAGGAGGAGATGGGAGTGTGGCAGAGGCCCTAGGGTGGACTGGGCTAGGAATGTTGGAGGAACCCGAAGGTCAGGTGGCTGGGGTGCTATTGAAGAAGATGGTGAGGGGGGGGGGGGGGCTGGCCTTTTTTTTAAAACCCTCACCCAAGGATGGGTGGATAATTTTTTTTAAATTTTTAAAAAACATTTTAATTGATTTTTAGAGAGAGAGGAGGGGAGGGGGAGCGAGAGAAACATTGATTGACTGCCTCCAGCACTCCCCCCACCCAGGTTTGAGCCTGCACCACGGGCATGTGCCCTGACTGGGAATAAACTGACCATCTTTCAGTGGCCAGGGCTCGAGAATATGTTTTTATTGATTTTAGAGGGAGAAGGAGAAGGGGAGAGAGAGAGAGAGAGAGAGAGAGAGAGGTGTGAAAGAAGAGAGAGAGAGAGAGAGAGAGAGAGAGAGAGAGAGAGAGAGAGAGAGAGAGATGTGAGAGAGAAACATTGATTGGTTGCCTCCTGTTTGTTCCCTGGCTGAGGATCGAACCCACAACCCAGATATGTGCTCTGACCGGGAATTACACTCGAAACTTTTTGGTGTACAGGACAACACTCCAACAAACTGAGCCTCTTGGCCAGGGTGGGTCTGGCCTAGTAGGCCACTGGGAGAATGGATTGTGTAGGGGCAGGCAGGGGAAAGGTAGAAAATAGGAGCTGGCCAATTAGTGTGTGGGAGACCATGGTGTCTTGGTTTAGGGTGCATTGAGTGGCCCGGGAGGGAAGAGGTGGTGGAAGGGGCTTTAGGTGCCTGGGAATCTCAGAGGTATACTCCTCATTTTACAGGCAGCTCTGACAGAGGTTAAGGTCACACAATTAGCTTAGTTTGCATCTGAATTCAGGTTTCCTGATGCCCAGTGTTTTTGCTTTTAGATGAACTCTCTAGAGGAGGACAAGGTGTACTAGGGCTAATTTTAAATTGTATTAATATAATAACTGGCAATATTGAATTTTACGATGTGACTACATGGTCCTGGTTTGATGTAATATAATCTACTTTTGTCATAAACTACTTATATGTGCAAGCTGGCTCTTCATTTTAATTTAGTTTAATTCTGTGAGCTTTTATGAATAAAGCCAGTTCCATTTTTTAGTATTGTGGAATTTGTAGTTGTCAGAAATAAGATTAAGATATCTCTGATTAGCCAAGTCAAAATTTTAATCTAGTTAAAATTGTTCCGGTGAGTTTAGTTTGCCAATTATTAATTGTGCTGATTGTGAGTAATAGGCAGTAGGGAAGGACTACAGTGGCATTCAATTCTGAATCTTAAGAATTGGCTAAATCTCTTTTTAGTTTTAAATTCGAAATAATGTGACTCAAGAAGTTGCAAAAATAGTAGTTTCTTGTGCACCCTTCATCCAGCTTCCCCTAGTGGCGATATCTTGCATAACCACCAGGACATTGTCAAAACTGGTAAATGACATTGGCACAATACTATGAACTCAAGTAAAATTTCACCAGTTTTTACATGCGCGTTGTGTGTGTGTGTGTGTGTGTGTGTGTGTAGTTCTGTCAAATGTTATCATTGTGAAGATTCATGTAATCATTACCAGGACTAAGGTGCAAAACTGTTTTATCACCACAAAGAATCTCCGTTTTGTTACCCTTTAATAATCCTACCCTCAACCCCTAACCCCTGGCAGGCACTAGTCTGCTCTCCACTAAAATTTTTACCGCTTTGAGAATGTCACATAAGTGGAATTATACAGCATATAACCTTTTGAGATTCAGTTTTCACTCAGCATAGTGCCCTTGAGACTCATCCCTGTTGTTGGGTGTGTCAGTAGCTCATTCCTTATTTACTGAGTAGAATTTCATGGTGTGAATGTACCGTGGTTTCTTTATCCATTCACTTGTTGGAGGACATTTGTGGATAATTTTTAATTTTTACAAATAAAGTTGCTGAACATTGGTGTACAAGTTTTTATGTGAATATATTTCTATTTCTGGAGGACAGATATATAAGAGTATGATTGTTGGAGGACTTATATATGTTGTTTGATTTCTAGCAAGTTAGCAACTTGGTATCTTGGTGTCTGCCTGTCCCTCTCTCTTTTCTCTGCATGATATCTGTGATCTGTGTTTGCGCTGTTGGTGCTGAGGTTCTGCACTGTATCCTTTTGGGCTCTTGACTTTCTATTGGTAGGTGGACCCTGTAGGTTATTGCTTATCTGTTTTCTGTAGTGTGGGTTCTGACTGCTGCAGAAATGGGCATGCGATTGGTGGCACTGGGTCAGTGAATCACAGATGCAACAATTTAGGAATGCTGTGGTACAAGCTGATATGTTTATTAGGTAAGCCTCAACTGTTCCCTATAGTATCA